CCCACCGTGATTTTCGTGACGTCCCAGGACGGGTCGACACGTGGACGGCCACCACCCGGCCGCTTGACTTATGGCCTTGTGTACTCATAAACAGGCCGGGTATCCTGTTGAGTCTCAATGCGCATTGTATCTGTTGGAAAATACAAAAGGTGATCTGACAGAGCTACGGTAATGATTAACAGTTAGGGTGGTTGGTTGTTTGGGCTTAATCGACTAAGATTATTTCAGTCTGAAGTTTTTTTAATATTTGTATATGTTAGTTAGTTCCAAGAATGTTATGAGCACAAGGAATACAGTTGGAGCTGATTGTTTTGAGGGAAAGAACATGTTATGACTTTGAATCTAATTTCACTATATTTTTTTACCATTTTGATATTTAGGAATATTGTAGGGCAGATCCTTGGTGCTTTAACCTTATATTTACACAACGAGTATTGGTCAAATAAGCTACAGCAATGTGAAACTAATGTGAAAATAAGAGCTCATACAGACTAGTTAGTTAGTTCACTTTGCCTTTTTCAGATATCTGAGATCGAAGACTATATTTAGTCAAGTCATATTTATATACGTGAATATATTGCCCAGCCCACAATGTGGATTAGTCTAATGTCTTTAGTGAAGAACAACCCTATTTTGTGGACATTTTGCTGAGTTGACTGAGGATTGGTTGAGAGCATGGGACTAACAGAAAGGGTTCAAAGTAATCCCCCTCCTCTGTTATCTAAAGAACATCTCTCATTTGTTTTGACTCAAAGGGGATTGGGAATATTGGATAATTTCCTTCTATTTATTCTTCTTCTCCGCTCTCACATCACCTCTCAAAGTTCACACATTTCACTAACCAGCGCCAAAAAACTGTTCTCCTCCTGACCCTAAAGACACACCAGCCTTTAGTGGAGACAAGCTTTGAGGAAACAACACAACAGCTATCTTTTGCTAGTTCACAGTGTGGAGCTTGTTGGGGGAAAGCGTGTCCCTGAACGCAGCACGGTGCCGGGGAGAGTTGCTCCGGTGGTTATTAAGCACTGTGGTTTAGTCACACGTTGTTTGCTGAATTATGAATGGCTGTAATTAAATTCCTGTGGCTCTTATTATGAATGATTAACTATGTTGTTTCATTGTTTGTCATTTGCCTCGCGACTCCTCGTTAATTAAGGGAGACAGAGAGATGTACGCCGCACCTGTCTTCACACACTAAAGGCAAAAAATTATGAAAATCCCGCTCGGCTATTGTGCACGAGAATCGATGAATGTGTTTTCTTATGAACGAACGTGTTGGTCTGAAGTGTTTTACTACGTGTGAACTTCCTGGCCCCCGGATCTAAAGATGTTCTTCCTGAAGAGCGTACAGGAATGTTTGCAGTGGCTTTTATGCTTCTGTATTTCTGTGTGCTGATGGTGTGTGTGTGTGTGTGTGTGTGTGTGTGCCCACAGCAGCAGGTGTCCGCCCAGCAGCTGGCCTTCCAGCAGCAGCTCCTGCAGGTCCAGCAGGTCCAGCAGCAGCACCTGCTCAACCTCCAGAGGCAGGGGCTGCTCACCATCCAGCCCGGGCAGACCGGCCTGCCGCTGCACTCCCTCACTCAGGGTCAGTACCTGCTCACACCACAGCACTGTGTACAACTACAACCCTACTGCACTCTGTCAAATATCAACAACACACCGGGGACAATGAACCACCGCTTTTTAACTCCAACATATTCAAAGGACTTGTTAGAATGTGTCTTCAGATGTCAAATTTAAGAGGTACTCCAAGTATGACAAAAGTATATGGTTATCATGTATCTGTTTGTTGATGCCACGGCACTGCAACCCTCTGTCGAATATCCTGTCAACGTAACACTGAAACACAACTATGTCCCGGGATTCAAGGCTGTTATTGTCATGTGTACATAGCTACAGTGTAGATATGTCAATGAAAAGCTTAGGTCCCAGGCTCCTCCAACAGTGCAACACAATAAAACAGATAGTAAATACAAATGAAATAAAATAGAAATAGTGCCAGGAGAGTCTATATACAAGTCATTGGAATATTAGATAATTAGTGTGTAAGTTGCAACCAGATGAATGCCATGGAGGTTATTTCAAAAGTGCAGGTGTTTAACAGTCTTATGGCCTGTGGAGTGAACTGGACAATGAAACGTCTCTTTTTAACGCCAACATATTCAAAGAATGCGTTAGAATGAGTCTGCAGATGTACAATTAAGATTGACTCTGACAAAAGTATATTATGGTTATCATTTATCTGTTTGTTAATACCACAGCACTGCATATAACTAGAAGCCTCCTGTCAGACATCCTGTACATAATTAGTCAACGGCTCAACGCTGTACTCTGTCTGGGTAAAATTTGACACCTGATTGAACAGCGTCAAAAAGTGCCAACGTGGATGATCCTGGTCTTTGAAATGAAATGATATTATGTGTCCATTGGAACGTAGTAAATGCTAAGCTATAGTGCCAGAGTCTAATAATTAAAGAAAGAATATTAAGTGAGTCATAACCGCAAGAAGAAATATCATAAATGTGTCATTTTACAAAATGGTATTTCAAAGACTTTTTGACATACCAACAAATCTAGTATGATTTAAAGATTTTAGACATAGCTTTGGTTAGTGTAAGAAGAAGAAAAAATATGTATATATATGAATCTAGAGAAAGGTGTTAAATAGACAGGGTTCTTACGGTCATTACAAACCTGGAAAAGTCATGGAAATTCAAAATGCTAATTCCAGGCCCTGGAAAACTTTGGAAAACAATATTTTTTCCAAAGTTTTGNCCCGGCATCTGCCTTCAATGATTGGATAAGCTTATATCTAAATTCATATGGCAGAATAAGAGACTGAGGGTGAGATATAAAACACTTACTCTTGGGAAAGACAAGGGCGGGCTCAACCTTCCCAACATAAAGCACTACTTTTGGGCAGCGCAACTAACAGCAGTGGTGGCCTGGATTCGCAATGACACAGAGACAGGATGGGTTAGTATAGAGCAGAGCTCATTACCAGGGATACCTTTGTCCAATCTGGTTTT